GGCAGGCGGGGGAGGGACATGGGAGGGTCGGCGGGAGGGGATGGCGGGTTGCGGTGGGAGTGGAGGGGCAGGTGAATCGGGGGCGAGGCGGGGAAGGGAGGGACCAGGGGCGCGGGCAAAATGGGCGTGGCGGGGGCATGGCGGGGTGGAAGGGAGTGGACGGAGGCGAAGGAGGGATGTAGGCGGAGCGGGGAGGGCAGGGGGGTCGAGGCGAGCCGGGGGCGGGGGGGGTTGGGGCCAGCGGGGAGGCAGGGGGTAGAGGCGAGACCGGGAATGGAGGGGAGGGTTGGGCTAGCGGGGAGGGAGGGGGGGTCGAAGGCCGAAGAGGGATGGGACGGGGGGGTTATGGGGCCACGGGGAGGCAAAGGGGGTCGAGGCGAGACCGGGTGGACGGGGAGGGTTGGGGGGGGCCCGGGAGGCGGGGGGTCGAGGCCAAGACGGCGATGGGAACGGTGAAGGGTTGGGGCCAGCCGGGGAGCGGAGGTGGGGTCGAGGCGAGACGGAATGGACGTGCCATTCAATACTCATATTGAAGTCATCTTTCTGGGAGCATCAACTCATTTTTACGTAACACTAGACACTGACCCCACGCGAGAAATGTAGATCTGTTAACACTCATGCTGTGCGAGAAGTGTTTTCAATTTACGCTGCAAATGATAAATCCGTGTCGTTTTCTACGAATTCAGAAAAACCAACATTTTTGTGTTACGTTTAAATTTGTTTTCTGTGCACAAAAAGATGCAATGTAACTTAGTCATTAATTTAGTGTATTCTCTGAATCGTGTCTTGATGTACGAAAGAATATTTTCCTAAAATAAATACACTGAATAACAAACTTCTGGCGCCAAATTTTATTTGGTCTAGTTTGGATACAGAGCTTTTTATGTTGCAGTATCACAGTGGGGCAGTATGATGTCGTAATTCGGCGATTTGGTTTCCTAGAAATAATTCACTTGAGATTGCAGTATTTCTAAGTTCGATCGGTCATTCGATCGGTCAACAGTTACCATATTTGTAAGTAATCTATTTTGACATTTCTGATTCAAACAATCTTTGTGACTTTAATAAAAGGAAATGTTCCAGGTCATGTTGGTCAGTTCTTTAAATAACAAGCTGGTAATTACCTTCCCATTCTGTAACCATCTCTGTAAGAGAGCGGTCAGTTGCAGGATGAGAGTTTTCTTCCGTGTTAAATTCATCCATCCATTTGTATTTTCAATTGATTTTAGGGGTAGTGTAGAAAAATAGTTTATATTTTTCAATAATTTTTCTGCTGTCTAAATTTATTCATGACTTAGCCGGGGCTTCTACTCGAAAGACTTTTTCTTCAAGAATCATTTTCATTTTCACAAGTTTCTGCCGGGGATACTTTTTTGTATTAGTTTTGATTTGCTCATCAGCATTGCTCAGAGATATCAAACTCAAGTTTAGTATTAAACGTTTTTTATTTACTTTACGCTGCCTGGATTATCAGACGACAAACTCGGTCCTTTTATTAACAGTTGATACAGTTTGGTAAGCATGCACTTGCAGTTACTAGGCATCTTTTCACGTTTATTCATCATTGTCACTGTCTGATATATTTGTGTCATTCACAAGTTTTGACGATTCTCACATTCTTGTAAAAACTTCAGTTGACTCGTCACGAAAAGAGAAGAAATTTTGGAACCTGAATCTGAAAGAAACAGCACTTAGGTGAAATATATATTTTGAACCAAATGCATATGGTTTCTCTTAGCTAACTATGATATATTATAAATAACTTTCTCATATACAAATGTGTATCGTGAATCATGGTATCAGGCCCACGTCAGAGGTCGGCGGCAGGGTCAGAAGTAAACCTAACGCGAAGCGAATGTCAACCAGGGAAGTTGCAATGAGAAGAACGGGGTTGAATTTTGGGGGTGATTTAAATTTTGAATGAATTTTCATGTTATTATGTGAACTCTGAACAAATAAGACTTGATAAACATTCATGACAGTAGATAACCTAATGGAATCATGAACAATAATCTAAATCAAAGTGGCGGAGAAAAACAGTCTCTTTACGATTTAAACTATGAACTTATATCGGTTTATTTTTATCTTTAATCTTATTATGTTGGTCAGTAGAAGGGGGAAGGGGGTTAATTAAAATGAGTGATATGAAAAAAGGAAATACCAAACTCCGTTTCCTCGTTTTCAGATTTACTTTCTACGCGGAGAGTTGCGACACAGTCTTTTCTATTTGTTCGTATTTGAGTATCGAGAGCACAATACGCGGTCAGATAATGCCCGACGATTGGAATACACGCTCTGAGAAAAAAAAGCCCGCTCGTATTCGAAGCACTGCAAGAACAGACAGCGTCGTGCTTTATTCGTCTTGAATGCACATGACATTCTCCACGCGCGTTACTTGCGGCGGCAACACTGCAGCCCGTGTGTCCCGTCAACCCACCCGACTGCGTCATTCTCTCCCTGAACACCGACAGTTCAATCTCTGTTGGTTAGTGCTCGTGGTGTTTTCGTTTCTTCTTGTCCGCGTGCAAATGAAGAGCTCTTTGTGCGCTTATCTGCGGAGGCGGTGCGGTCCGTCGCGACGCCGGCGACGGCGACGGCAGACGCAGTGGCGACGCCGACGACGCCGACGCCGACGCCATCGGACAATCACTGCGGCGTGCGGCGATGCCTTCTCAAGAGGACTTTGATGAGGTGACTGGCGGGCCATCGTCATCTACACGAATGGCAAACATACTTTTCTAATCATAACGAGTTGTTGCTTTCACTCGTTGGCGAGAAAATTCCTGAGGGGCAAGTAAACGTATACAATGCTAACATGTAAAAACGTGGCTTCAGGAGTTTTTATGAACGAGGCAGGTTATTTAAAATTCGCAACTTTCACATATGAATAAACATAAATACAGAAAAATAAAGTAGAGGTAAAATATATTAAACGCATGAATGTTTCTTTCAAAAACATGTTTCACATATTTTTTAGGGGTGTAGCAATTTTTAGCTTGTATTTCTTCACTACTATTAAATAAAATCAGGTATCAGGTCGAGTGTTGTGACCAGATTTCTTGGGGCAATAGTTAGACCTTTTTTCAATTAATATATTCAACTATTTCATAAAAAGGGCTATGAATCATTAATAAATATTTTGAATTCTTTCATGCATTGCACATATCAACCAGACAAGTAGACTGAATCTTGATGGATTTCACAGTATCAACGACATTGGTTGTTTAGTAGTAGTTGTTCATGGATTCAAGGTGTAATTCATATGGTTTATAACACAGAGACTTAAGGAAATTTTTCAGTAGAAACGGATCACATTATACCTAAAAGTCTTGCTTCACAACTTATGGATGATTTTACCACTTAACAATGATGTGGTTGAACCACCTTTCGCGTAGTATGTGGTCGACTTCGAGATTCTGAATTCGTGAATAACTTAGGGTTTCGAGCCAATGAAACGCGTTCGGAGAACAACGGCGGGCTACACCCGAAACCCGTCCTCCTCCTCGCCCGGCGCGCCCTGGGCGCACGGCGAATTAAAGCGCATTAACAACTCTTTGCATACGTGGAATTCAGGTTGGCCACTGGCAGCGACTCTCGAGGCAGTGCAGCGCGCTTGGCGGTCGAGCGCGAAACTAGCAGCTGCAGCAGCCTGGCGCGGCCGTCAGTGGACTCACGGGCGCCCTCTGCCCAAGCGAGCTCTTCAGCCAATTAGATTTAGGTTTAGATTTAGTTAGTAAAAAAAAAAAAAAAAAGGTGAAAACTGTATGTGACGTATGAGGGAGAAGATTATCTACGCATGTTTTCCTGAGTTCCAGAATCCCTTCCTTTTAACTATAAATAGTTAAAAGATGAGTAAAAGATCAAAATAAATAAATTAAAAATACATTTTATAAAGGCGTGAGATTAGCAATATTTGAAAAAAATATTCCTTCGAATGGGAGGAATACTCGAGAGAGATGCGACATCGATACGTTAGCGAACATCGATGTTAAAAATGATAGCCGTGATGTTAAATATATATCGAATAAAAGCCATCGATTGTTTTCAACATTCATGTTTTTAGATAGGTTTTGTAACCTCTAACATTAAAAGGACGTGTATTAAAATTTAATGTGACAGAGTTCGTGTTTATTATTTCTCCGAGTTAAGAGAAGAAAGGACAGATCCTACGCCCACAGCGTATTTGTTGACCACATCTAAATGTGCGAAATAAATACGAAGAAAGAGGAAACGCAATGGCATGGAGGTAATTCGAAGGCGAGAGAGCTTGGTCGATAAAGATAGTACAGAATGCGTTCCTTGAACAAACGAACTAACAGTGTTGCCATCAATCATTATTTGGTATTTTAAATTATACAGTATTGTGATCATGGATATTTTTCATCATATATCATCGATGTTAAAAAAATATCGGCGTTAATACAACATCGATGTTTTAGAAGAAACATCGATGTTTTAAAAATATCGACATCGATATTGCATCCCTAATACTCGGACGTTATTCGGTCTGTGGGCTAACTGCACGCAGGTAATCACCGCAAAGCTAGGTTATTTGCAAGGCTTCACGAATTGGCTTTCTTCTGAATTTCGTTTGATTGATTGCTGGTAATTATCAAATTTTGGTGTTGTTTTTATTCCTGGAGATATACTATTTCTTATTGAATTGATTGATTGCTTGAATGTTTCCAGTTGTTTCAACTTCTGTGGTAATTATTCCCGTTAATGTAGTGATGTTATTCCCCAAGAGATGGCGGTGTTCCCAAGCACCCTGCTGCACTACATACGTAATAAAATTTAAAGTTAAGAGAAGTAGCACGCGAGAAAGTAAAAAAAAGGAAACAAAATAAATATTAGCACAGTTTTAAACATAAATTTTCGTTTTCGATCATATGACAACAATCTGATGTAACAAGTTTACACTTGAATGTAAATGTCTACCATTTCTCATTCCTAACCACAGCGAGTATAACACTTCTCTTAAACTCCACGTGTATTGCGGATTACATATTCATTTGTTTCTCGCGCTCTTGGCCACAGCGAGTATCCACGAGGCTCCGTTGACAAAGGGTCCCCTGCGGGGACATTGGTTTGTGCCTGCCGCACACTGCAAACGCACATTCATCCTGCCATTCCAGCAGCCGAAATTGCCTGCTCTGCTTTCTACCACAGTCCACTCGCCCTTCACGCGCCCCGAACACAGTGTACACCTGCCATTATTATGGTACTTTATAGTTGCTGATTGGTCGAAATTTGCTTATTTATTATTCATATTGTTCAAAATATAATTCCTATTAGCCTATTGCTATTAGTATTTGCGTGAGTAATCTTCGTGGTAACATCGCTATTCACATTCTTCATGCACATCTGTCCTCATAATGTTTACACTATATAGTATGTCACTTCCCCGTCTTTATTGAATGCTTGTACCAGGGTTGTCCAAGCGGAGGCCCGCGGGCCACATGCGGCCCGCGATGCAATTTATTGTGGCTCGCGAAATGCTATTAGTCAAATGTAAAAGTCACTGTCATCCACGTGATCCTAAAGCACGCGCCCTGCCGGGATCAACTTCCCGTTACCGTAAAATAAAGGTTAATGAATGTTTTTTCTAGGAAATTCAGAAATTCAAAATCATCGCAATGTGTCTGACTGCGGTATGAAAGGTACGGCCTAATATCACGCATGGTACCATTATCCCGCCTCCCCTTCCCGTCTCAGAGCTGTCGGGCAAACTGCCGAGCTCAACAATACGGGGAAGTACGGTGTGGATCGCTCGAGTAATATCAATACAGCCCGTAACCATTTTAAGGCTTTAGGTGCCCCTTGAAGCCTTACAATTTGGACACCCCTGGTCTATGGCATATCGCTTTCATAACAGGGAAATCGTCTTTGCAATATCATACTACCAACTAGCAGCAAAGTCACTTTTGTTGACATCAAAAGGATCCTGGTGCTTTTAAAACTATCTGTATATGGTTGATATGGTTAAAATGGTCCTTAGGTGAGAGATAGAAATATTACCCTTGGGGTGAGAGATAGAAATATTACCTTTGGGGTGAGAGATAGAAATATTACAAGTATTTCCTAGCTGACCAGCCGGAAACAAAGTCTGGTGATACTCCCCTGCAGTATCTGTATATATTGTTACCCAGAAGTGTGTACGTTCTTTATACAAAATTGTACCGGCCTCAGCTGGAACTAGAATCTATTGCATTCGGCGGTGTGACGCGCGCCATTGGCTACCTGATACGCCAGGCCGGTGCACGGCTTCCGCTCTCAACGCTGAGGTCACTGAGTGGTTTTTGTCCCAAATTATTGCGCGGTCGCCCCGGCTGGGATCGTTATTCGCGTCCTTGCATTGTTATCGCTAAAGCAACCACTACTTGAGCCCTCGACCGGTAGTACAGATGGCTCCAAAAGAAAAGACGAGCATTTCCTAGCTCAGCAGACGGAGACAAAGCTTTTAATTTCCAATATATATATATATATATATATATATATATATATATATATATATATATATATATATATATATATATATACTATGTTATCAAAAGTATCCGGACACGTCCAAACTGGTGATTAAACGTGGTCGTGTCCTTCATGGGGGGATTGGGGTTGCACCTCTTGTTGTTTTGTGTGGTACTATCACAGCACAGGCCTACGTTGATGTTTTAATACCTTCTTAATTCCCACTGTTGAAGAGTAATTCGGGAATGGCGATTGCATCTTTCAACACGATCGAGCACCTGTTCATACTGCACGTCCTGTAGCGCAGTGGTCACATAGCAATAACATCCCTGTAATGGATTGGCCTTCAGAGTCCTGAATTGTATCCTATCGAACAGCTTTAGGATGTTTTGGAACGCCGACTTCGTGCCAGGCCACACCGACCTACATCGATACCTCTCCTCAGTGCAGCACTCCGTGAAGAATGGGCTGCCATTCCCCAAGAAACCTTCCAGCACCCGTTTGAAAGTATGCCTGCGAGAGTGGAAGATGTCGTCAACAGTAAGGGAGGGCCAACACCCTTTTAAATTCCAGTATTACGGAGGGTATTATGGAGGGCGCCACGAACTAGTAAGTCATTTTCAGCCACGTCTCCGGATAATTTTGATGACATAGTGCATTAAATACACGAGTATGTACAGTGGCCACTCGTGCATGTATGCCACTTCGTTTTAGATTTAGCATGCATTACTCGTAAATGGAAGTAAAATCTTAATGTTAATGTAACAACTAATTCCACTGAAACGAGAAGTCATCTCATCAGCCTTGAACAATCACCCACCCCATCACAACACATTATAAGAGTATAAAATGTTTATACGTCTACACATTTGAGAAATGCAAAAAGAAACGGCACTCCGCTCTGACACTGGGGACACATTTCGAACAAGTAAGCCGAGGGCACGCATTGCAGAAAAAAGCAGCGTGGCATTGATGTTCAATTAGCACTGCGTTGTAAAGCGAAAGCTAAACTGCTAAAAACGCTACATTCTGAAGTCTCCGAGGCTTACTATCAAATACGCCAAATAACAAAAGGTTAAAAACCTTTCCAAAAACATATTTTTTACTTCCACTAATACATAATACGTACATGGTATAGATAAGGGTCGTCCAAACGGCGGTCCGCGGTGCCATTTATTGCGACCCGCGAAAGGTTAATAGTCGAAAGTGAAGGTCACGTGCAACACATGTGGGGCGAGAACATTGTGCTTCTAGCGCACACGCCTTGTCGGGGTCAACAACTCCTTAATGTGAAAATAGATTAAGTTTAGATTTAATGATTTTTTTCTAGTAAATTCATAAGTTCAAAATTATTCCAATCTGTTTCATTACGTTTTGCACGGTACGCCCTCATATTACACTTGGTTACACCCCCCCCCCCCCGGATCAGAGCAGTCGAGCAAACTGCCGAGATCAACATTAAGGGGTCACGTGTGGTTCGCACATGTGGAAATGAAATATGGCCCGCAACTATATTAAAAGTTTTAGTTGTGGCCCTTTGCAAGATGGACATCCCTGGAATAAATAGTGTCATGTAACGCAGGAGAAAATCGTTGTCCAGATTTGAATGAAAACATATGAGGCCCCTTCTACCCCAAACGGTTTCGAAACGTCCGTCTGTCTGTTTGTACGTTTTTGACCAATTCTAATGCCTAAAAGCCATTCATAGTAATAAAAAATGGAGCGTAACATATTTACAAATTGATCGATCAGCTCAGCCGGCGTCACGGGACAGGGGATTGAAGCAGTTGCACGAAAGAACGGGGACACAAAGGCTGTTGGTTCAAAATGTGAGTGTTGACAAAGGTTTTTAGTTGTGACTGTAATTATTTCCAGTCTCTCTATGATTACATTAATATCCTACGACTCGATTGACATGCTTCCTTTCTCGAATAATTTCGGAGTCTTGGCAAACGCACATATGCGCGATTTGGTTTCTAGCACTTCAAAGGCGACATTTTGGCACTCCAGCTCTCCACCAGCGACGCGTTGACACTCTAGCACTCCAAAAGCGACATTTTAGCACACCAGCATTACAGAAGCTACACTTTAGCACAACACCACTTCATAAGTTACACTTACACTAGAAGCTATACTTTAGCACAGTAGCAGCTCAGAAGCTACACATTAGCGAAATAGCACTCCAGAGGATACACTTTAGCACAATACTAATTCAGAACCTATACTTTAGCACTCTAGAAGGGACACTAAAGAATTGTAGCACTCAAGAAGATTAAAGATTTTCCCGCCAATTTCAACAAAATATTGGTAATATTAAAAAATAACAAACAAAACTTCCTGAAAAAATTATTTTTTGTACTTTTTGAACGGATAGCATTAAATGCACCTTATAAGGTGACAAACACCATTTTACTGTATCCTTTTCCTTTTTTCAAAAATACTCAAATGTAACATTTTTTACATCTTTCTGACGTCGCTAATACTATTACCGGCGATTTGTATACATTATTGCATTTATGAGTCCATGTTATTCAAATGATGAATTATAAATGGTACATTTCGAAATAATGCGAGAAAGTATGTACTGTTGTAGCACTACTGGTTTCTTTAATTTTTGTTTCCACGCAGGAAAAAGAGGGACTCTTAAATGAATAGCGCAGGTCTCTTTTTCGTTGAACTCTTTGAATTTTCTAAAATTGCGAATTGGAAATAAAGGGAGAGGGGAGAGAATTTTTAAGCTTCAGTGAAGTGAAGTGAAGTTCAGTGAAGCTTCAGCTAAGTGAATACGTCAGTGGGACTGCCTGATGTAGCGGTAATGCGAACGGTGGGTTAACTCAATGGTTCGAGACACGGTGCGGAAAAAATATCTGCTGATTGAAAACATTTTTTGTAGGTTCACATCGGAAAATGATATTAGGGGGCCGTTACAATTAATATGAAAAAGTACGTGCTGTTGTATCACGACAAGTTAAAAAATTAAACATTTTTTAAACAAAATATCTCTCAGGGAGTTAATATTTACATTACCGGCAATTTGTATACATTATTGCATTGGTGAGTAGAAGTGCTTCAAATACTTTCTTATCAAACTTCTCAAAAGTCAAAAGTTTAGAGCGGAAATGAGTTCCAAAACTCGCATTTTGGAGATCATTTTTGCGCGAAAACAAAAAAAATGTGAGCAAGGCGAAAATAGATGACATCTGAGAAGAATATAGAGCGAAACCGCATGGAGAACCCACACTGAAGAGATAAGAAAACTATTTAATACGAGAAAGTCTGTGCCATTCTGTAGGCCCGGCAGTTTTAAGCTGCATCATCGCGCGCACGTCACAATTAAGAACTATTTGCATAGGCGTGCGTAGAGGGGAGGACCGTTTTAAAAGGGCCACCGCAGCCGATATGTACAACTTTCATTTCCCTAAATATTTTCCATCCCTAGTTTTCTCCTCTTTAACCTGACAATTAGGAATGTTTCAATATTTTACTTAATTTAGCTTGTTTAAAAATCAGCAGAGGTCACTAGCAACCATTATAATTCAGTGCATAAGTAACATTTAAAAAAAATATAATTAAGCAGAATATTTCTTTCAAATTTTTTACAATACATTTAATTAATTTGTGAATCACAGTAAATAAATAAAATGGTTATACATTTGGGAAAGAGGCTCTCTGGCTCTGGAAAGCCGATTCAATATAAAACCACTTGTATTTACTAAAAGTGCTTACTTCGTTGTAATTTAATTCTCTTTGTAGTGTTTTTTAATAAAGTCGTATGTAAATATAAAAAAGTTGAATGGAAAAAAAGGGCTCAAGAACGTAGTTGCCTTATTTCTATTTGTACTGTCCCAAAGGGTTTATACAGCCGCAAGATGCGAGCAGATACATATAATTTTGTACCAGAAATTCGGGAAGTCCAGATGGGTGGCCGATGTAGGCCACAAATGACCATCATTTTAGAAGCTTTTGAGCTGCATCTTGATAAATACGTCGATCTATTTCTGTCGTTCTAAGGATCATTAGGTTATTTTAATTTGGGGGAGTTCTTTACATGAAGGCCTTTGATGTTTTTAAAATGGTCTGAAAAATGGCTCAAAAACGTGTACTTTAAACTTTTTGCTCACATAGAGGAAAGTGCATTTATAATGGCATAGTTTGGATTTTCATTAAAATCACTGAAAATTTGAATCTTGCAAAGTTCAAATATTTGTCGAACCCGTCTCCCATCTCCAATATTGATCCCAGATATTTCATTACCAGTGCAATATATCACTTAATTGTAGATCTTTAAACTATGTTATGGAGTTTTTTTTAATATGGTTGTTAGGTAGTGATAATACTAAAAGAAGAGACGTATCAGTATGCAACACATTACCACAAGTTTGTTTTTTTAAATTCCAATCTACATTTATATACACATCCATGATAAAATTGCATACATAAGTAAAATAACATGAAATAAACTCGATAACACAAATGGCTGCAGTTATTTGACGTAGTATTGCTTAGTGCTCTCTTCTTTCAAGGAAAAACTGAAAGAGAAAAACATGTTTGAGCGCATTATCTTCCCAGTTTTGAATTTCGCTGTAAAAGAACATAGAATTACATAATTCCCTGTCTATGTAGACACTTCGTTTGAAAGAGTACATGACACGGCATCAACCGCACATACGCAGTACGCCGCCCCTATCAGAGACCAGCGAGGAAAATATGACAGCTCTGACACTTGATGATAAAAGTTTGCCTAACACGATCTTTGCAACTCTTTCTCAGTTTCTCTGTCATAATGAATTTTGCGAGATATCAACAATTGCTCATTAGCTTGTGGATGTTTATACGCAATTCCATATTACATCTATCAACATGATGCATCTCTGTCCGTCGGTTTGGGTTTTTTAACCTCTGCATTTTTACTACTCTTCTCCATAAATGCTTTTTTGTGTGTTTTCAGTTTTACCCTACACACTAAAATAGCACAGATAACATTTTTCTAAATATAACTTCTTCACCCTAACTAGAGACCCGTCGCGATAGAGCATTGCAAGGAAACATTTTTACAGCCCTCTTCCGGCAAGAGCCAAGATATCGCAGGGGAGCATACCTGTCGCGTGGACACGTCCCGGGTTCGCTCCTGGCATACCTGGGAACTCGGTCAGAAATCAGGGGGGCATGGAACGAGGAAGCGGGAAGCTCGACGCCTTCTTTCCATCGCGTTTCCTTCGAAATCTCTCCCGAGGGATGCTCTCGGACACAGAGCAGCGCAAGCGCAGACACCAGTCGTGGGCGGGCGCGACTCCTTCGCCAGACAACCCCCGCCGCGACCACGCAGCTCCTTCGGCAGGAAACAACGCGAAGAAGAGAAAAGATAGACATTTCGGGCGCGAAATTGCTACTGATCAGCGTTTTCCTTCTAACTTAATTCACTGAAATCTTTTTTTTTTAATAAGCTTAATTTTTTCGGTCGCATGAACTGCTAGATCATTAGCGGCGATACATACAATTCTTTACAATGAATGAAAATAATTTATATCCTGTAGAAATCTTATTTTGTCTTTTTTCGGTGTAAGAAATTTAACAGTTCGAATATACTGTAATTGCTCACTTATTTTACATTTAGAATAGTTATAGTTAGTAGATATTACGATTTGTTATCAAGCCTTGATGATGGTCAAATCCATTTTCTGTATTCTCGGTAAGCTGGCACCTATATTCATTATACGTTATATACTCGAAAGAATTCTAGTTCGAAAACTGCTGGGTCGTAACATCTGGGGATCACACTCCAAAAGCATTAAATATTGTTGACATGACATTCTGATCAACGTTTATGGCATTTTACAGTACAATTTTCCTGGGGAAAAGATGATCATAGTACTATTGATACGACAAAACGTACCCGAAAGAATTCTAGTTCGAAAACTGCAGGTTCGTAACATCTAGGGATCACACTCCGAGGGCATCCAATATTATTGACATGACATTTTGAGGAACTTCTAATGCATTTTACAGCATTTAACCTGGGGAAAATAAGAACATAGTAGCATTGTATACCACGATACGTACTCGAAATAATTCTAGTTCGAAAACTGCTGGTTTGTAACACACACCGAAGGCATCAAATATTGTTGACATGGCACTGTAACCAACTTTTATCACATTTAACAGTATTTAACCTGTGGAAAAGAAGATCACAGTAGTATTGTAGCTGTACTTACGATTGGCAGTACGGGGGCGGACTCACCTGAAACGTGCTGACGCATTGCACCTCCGCCAGGTTGGGCACGCCGAACAGCTTGAGCTCCTGCAGCACGCCCTGTGCGGCGAACAGCGCCAGGTAAGTGGCGAGCAGGCGGGCGGTCATGGCGACCACGCCCGCGCCCGCGCCCGCGCCCGCCCTCCGCGGAGGCCGTGGGCGGTCCTAGAGACGCCTGCGCATCGCCCCGCTCACCAACCACTCGAAACCGCACGCACCACTCCACCCACGCGATCGGACGGACGCGAACGGACGCCAATCGAATCGATGCTGCTCCTTCCCACCAAAAAAAAGAAAATAACCACTCGTTCGCGATGTGAGTGAATCGGTTTTCAGCAGACGGGATCAATTTAAGAACTTTCAAATCTCCTTACAGCGGCGGAAAAACTTCCGATACGATCGGAAACGCGATTAAAGGCGGACATTCCTAAACAGCGGTGGTGGTCCTAATCCAGCGGGTCGTCTCGGCGGCGAGGGCCGGCGTGGATCGGCCGCGGCGCAGGCTCCCACCTGTGGCGGCGCGCGTTCTGGAGGCGCTGTAGGGGCCCTCCGCGCGTCTCCAACGCGAGCTCGCGACTGCCAGCCACCGCCGCC